ACCTACTTGGAAACTGTAAATTATGGGAACTTTAGTTTTTTTCTCTCTTAACTGAAAAAATGCACCATTTATTTGTGTTTGTTCAGTACTGAGTTTAAAACAAGCCAGCCCTAATTAAAGCTTTGAAGTGATATAAAACAAAGAATGGAGAAATACATATTTTTACCATCTTGAAATGCTACTAGAAATTTATACTAGGCCTTAAAACCCAACAGAAGAAGTGAAGAGGATGGAGCTACTAAATGTTGGCACAGATTTTTCAGATCTGCCTTTTAGAAATCAGATCACAATCAAATATATATAAAAAAATCCTCCAACGAACAAAAAGCCCTACAACTGAGTGCAAGTTAGGTGTTAAAGGGTGATCTCCTAACCATGCCCTCCAGAGTGAATCACCCTGCAAGTGTTCTGTGCAGGCTCCATCTTGTCTTTTGGTCCAAGGCATAATCACAGGAGAAGGATTTCAAAAGGCAGGAATCCTGCTTGGCTGCTTAAGTAGCACTAATGATACATTTGCTCCAGTTACTCATGTAGATCATCTCCATAAGGAATAATGGGGAGTTAGATAAATGGAGCATTGGAACTACCAGCTGTCCATGTGACAGTCCTGTCACCAGCCCGGTGCTAAGCCTAGGAGTGTGTTCAGGGCACGGTAATCTGCCTTATCTTAAAAGAAGTGTAACTTCGCTAATTTTCTTATCACCTGCAAGCAGCAACTGGGAGATTAATTTGCCTGTTTGTCAATAATTTTCAGTTATATTGCTTAGAAAAGGCTGACTGTAAACACAGAATGACGAGATGGGCTCAGACAAAAGGCTTGTGAGTCTGCCTCCAACAGTAGCCAGCTCCCACTCCAGCCATTAAAATACATCCATTTGCATGGGAAAAAAGGACTTCACACTCAAGTTGTCATTCTGTCATTTTTTTCCCCACTATATAGAAGGAATACACGCTATTTCAAAATTAGATTCCTATTTGTCAGCATTTTTTATTAAGCTAAAAAATAACACTTTTGAGAGGCAGATCAAAATACACAAAACACGGTACAGAGATTTTTTGGGGGTAGTGTACACTAAATATCCTAACGTTCCAAACACTCCAGTTACCTGAATAGTTGGGTGTCCAGTTACTTATGGAATGAATCACTGAATGGTTTGGGTTGGAAGGGACCTTAAATACCACCTAGTTCCAACCCCACTGCCATGGGCAAGGACACCTTCCACTAGACCAGGTTGCTCAGAGCCCCATCCCACACGGCCTTGAACACTTGCAAGGATGGAACAGCCACAGCTTCTCTGGGCAACCTGTGCCAGTGCCTCACACCACCCTCATAGTGAAGAATTTCTTCCTAAAATCTCATCTAACCCTCCCCTCTGTCAGTTTAAAGCCATTCCCCCTTGTCCTGAGTCCAAGCCCCTCTCCAGCTCTCTTGTAGCCACCTTTAGATACTGGATGGCTACTTAAATCCTTCAACAATTTTGTCAGATACAGGTGCAGATCTCTCTGTATTCTTCCATGGCATCTCACACAGTTAATGCAGCATCTTCTCCTCTGGCTTCGATAAGTTTAACCTCACCATTCTCAGATGTGCTCAGAATACTCTTAGCATTGCAGGTGAATGGTCCTATCCTTCCTCCCACCCTGCCCCTCTGACCAAGAGGATCTTTCTCCATTTCTACATCTCCAGCTGCTCTGAAATTTCCCCAACAATCTTATTTATGCTTAAATTTTTGCCACCAAGGTCCTTCAGGGACTACTGTCATCCCACATACCACACAGAATTGAAAAGTATTTCCCCTCTAAGCAGACCCATCATCACTGGGTTTTGCCTTCTGCCTACCATCTGCAAACAACCCCTTTCACACACTCACCCAAGCTACTGCTCGTAGAAGTCATGCCCCAGGCTTATGTGCATCTCTTTCTTGTTGATTTAAGTATCTTGTCTTAATACCTTTCTAATCTTAGTGTACTCAGAGACACTGAAAACACCCAGGTTACTGCTTCATTAGTTCCTTATATGCTACCTTTGTTGTAAATACTGCCCAGCTTCATAACAATACAAGCATGTGTGTGTTCCTAGTTCAAGTCAAATTTGTATGATGATTCACCAGTCAACAGATTCACTATTAATGACTGTCTAGCAATGGCTGTAGGCATGTAAGTAATAATATAAATTAATATTAAACTACTGATTACATTAAATAATGCTAAACAACTAGTACTAAATGTACCACACAACAAAAAAAGTCCCTTTTACTCATAATCCTTCATCTGACAGGGGTCTCGTACTGATGTCTGGGGTAGAATGAAGGCAGGACAAACAAACACAGTAGTATCCCAGCTTCTGACTAATTGCAGCTTAAGGACATCCTGAATCAGATAACAGTTTGTGTTTTTCTAGTTCCTATCAACGATCTCTCCTCTGCCTGTGGCCAGTGCCCCTTGGAATGCAAGGATGTGTAAAGTTCTGGCATCTGCAGCTTCCTTTGCAAAGAGCTCCTTGGGTCTGCCAGCCTCCAGCATGGAGAGCTGCCTCCTGCATTTAGGTGGAAACAGTAGCTTTATGCACCATACTAAGGCTCTGTGGTTGGCTTTCTGTTCACTTCCTAATAATTCCTAGTGTTTGATTTGCTTTCTGACCACCGAACAATAAGCTAATACTTTCACAGAACTACACCCTGTAACTCCAAGATCTTGCTCCTAAGGGGTAATAGCTAGCTTGGTCTTAAAAAAAGGAAAGTATTTTTCTTTCACATTCAAAATCCCACAGAAGCCTCAGAAACATGTCTTAAATGACACTGTTTGCTAAGAAAGTGATTTATTATTATCATTTAAGAAGAGCATGGAATTAAAAATGGAGTGAAAAGTTTTTAATCTTTTTAGGGAGGACAAATCTAGGTAGGTCAGCCACTGTTTTTATCAGTTTTAACCATGTTAAAACATTCACGTTAACTTAGTCTGAGAGCAAACTATCTGAAACAACACTGTCATATGACAGCATTGCACACCTACTCCACAGACTGAACAATTACAAGAGGAGTGTAAGCAGAAGAGCGCAAAGGACAGTTTTACCATCATGTATTCTCTCAAACATCACTCAAATCACTTTCACTTATGTCTTCTTATTTTCCCCTCCCTCTGAAATCTTCTCAAAGTAGTGGAATGATCCTTCTCAAAAAGAAGGTAAAAACTCAAGCATGCCAAACACTTAAATGCACACACAAGCAGAACAATACTTTCAAAGTCAATTAGCTTGAAAATATAAATATGTTCAAGTGCTCTCTTGGATTAAGACCCCACAGGCAATTTACAGCCTTGGCTCCTGCAGCTCACTGCATTTTTACTTCAAACCACTTTAGCTCAGCCACACAATAGCAACAAAAGTTTTGAAATGTGATCTGCCCAGAAACAAATCCAGCCTGTTCTATTTCTCCAAGATGAAGATGACAAATGATAGTTAAAAAAGGGTAAGACCTTTCATACAGACCCTTCCCTACCTCACTTGAAAGTATACGTGTATATATATTTAACTGAGAACTTTTCAAATCTGTGATGAGAGCAGAGCTGAGGCAGCACAAGAGGATAAAGGAGGAAGGAAAGAGGGTATCACACTATGAGGCTTATTTAGGTTGTTTATATAGGTCTTGGTGACAGACAGGTTCCAACAGAGCCAGGGCCAATGAACGAAAAATCTTTTAATAAGTTGTTGGTGTTTTTTTTTTTTTTTTTTGTTTGTTTCTTCAGAATAAGTCAAGGTTACACAAATCTTCCATTAAAGAAAATTCTGCAAAAGCTAAAGAATAAGTAACACCAGCCATAATCTTAGATGTGCTGGAATGTTCTTATACAAAATCCAAGAGAAAAAAAGACAGGGAGAAATACTTCTTCCTGTACCTTAGATGACTAGAAATGGTGACCACTTTCAAGCATACAGTTAAGGTTAAATCATATAGTGCAGTCACCAGATGGGTCACCTACAAAAGGAAAGTTAGGTCAATCTGTAAACTCTCTCTGAGTGATGTCACTGACAGAGTTATTACTGGCAAATCAGAGCATGTTGACAAGATAAGAAGCAGGTGGCAAGGTTCATGTTACTGTTTCACCCGCAAATGAGACACTAATAAAGACCCAAAATAAATACAGTATTTTTTGTGTAAGATTTCTGGAGGAACAGAGTTTACTTCAAGAGATGCAACCTGAAAGTTTTTTCAGGTTGCTGGATTAGGAAAAAAAGGTCTATAAAAGACTTCTCCAGTCTGCCAAGTGTACCTTTTTTTTTTCCTTTTTTTTTTTTTTTTTTAATTAACTCCTAAGAAAGATAAAGTCTGAAGAGAAACCATCCCTTGCATTTCTACGGCTTGAAATGTTCTCTGAAATCATAAACTAATTTTACCATTAAGAATGCATGGCTTTGTGTAAAAATATAAAGTGAAAGGTAACACTACATGCAGCCCACAAACCAACAAAGCAGACAAATCATACAGGACAAATAAACCAAAAAATCAGATGGAGCCCTCCTGAGTTTAATCCTTAAAGGCACACTAGATATTTCTATTTTGTGCCAATAATGCCTCACAAAACATTTCAATATGCTCTTAGAACATGGGATTAAAAAGAAATAATTATGTAAAAGCTCATTTTACTAATCTGAAACCTCTGTGTGTGGTAACTGATATAAATCTGTGATGCAACTGATTTGCCCTAGAACAGTTCTTGAAGTCTCCATGTGGTTTTTACTTCTCTTAAAAAATAAGCCTGTTACTTCCATCATTAAAAATCCCAGGCATTTAGTTTTGCTTTTTCAAAAATCAGAATTATCTTTCCTTTTGAAAAAAAACCCCTCATGTGATAACAAATAAAACACAGCAACCCTTTGAATTATGAAACAATTGCTGACACAATTCAAATCCTCTAAGTATCTGATTCCTTTGAGATATCTGTGAAAAAAAAAAACCCATATAATTACAGAAACCTTGGTGGCCATCCAGCTGTTTACTCACCCATTTCTTGTCTGGTACTGCAGACTCCTGTCCCATACTTTTCTAACTCTCTGGTCACAGTTTTCAAAGCATTAACATCTGTTTCTGCGAAGCCGAGGTAGTTATAAGAACCCATATTGATTACGTTCTTGATAGTCCTTCCTGTAAACCTAGAATTAAAGCAAATTTTAAACAACAGTGCAACCTTCTCTCCAACAACAAATGAAAAGGGAAAAAAAAAAAAAGGCACACCAAAATTCTCCTACCAAATTTTGTTCTATTTGGGAATTTATAATCCTTTAACAACCCAAAAGTTTTCACAGCCTTTCTCTTTTTTCTGGCTAAATACTGTTTCTTGGTCAGAATGTTTTCTAGAAGCCAAGTTGTAGATGGCAATATACTGGTTATTAGGTGAAAAGCTGCTTTTGTGGATTTAAATAAATAAACCAACATAAGACTTCATTTAAGGAACAATTTTTCAAGCAAATTGTCACCAACTTCCACAAAGTCTTCAGTGTTCTCACACACACAGAGAAATTAAACATGATGAAAATGTTGTGGGAAACATCAAGACGCATTCTCACTAAACTGAAATATAGCCAACCTACACATTGTCTGTGCACTGAATTCCCACAGCTGTTTAATTTAGTTGTGATACACCAAAATCTTCAAGCTGTAATCTGCTTAAAACCCGCTGCCAAAGACTCGCTGTGAGAGCAAGAGGCAACATTCACACAATGCAAGAAATCGTGATTTCAATCCTAACCAAGGGATACAAGAAATCTTGTTGTAATATTCTAAGTAAAGGTCTGCTGTTATAAATGAGGCATCAGCAGTTCTACTTGTGCTGACACAGCCAAACAAACCCACTTGTGATTGACTTGGAAATCCATACTGCGTTTCCAACCCCTTTCAGAGGGAAAGGGTCAGATTGTCAGCAATTTGCAGATGTACCTGGAGTATTCTTTTGAAGCTGAGAGGTGCAGAGTGTAAGATGACTCACCTAAATGTCCAGTTGTAATCATCTGTAACACGTTCCATGAGGTCAAACTGTGGCCCAGGGACACTGCAAATTGGCCGGTTCCAGTTATCCCGTATTCTCATATAGAGGTTTCTGGTGTAAAAGTTCTCAAAGTCTTGATAAAGTGGCACAAAGTCCTGGTTTGAAAACATGCACAGGGTTATGTTGCTGGGAAAATGTCTGCTTCTGTACCCAAGTTATTCAAATTAACAAGGAAAAACAGATTCATTAGTGAACAGAGAGCTGTAACAGCCACATATTCTTATGTCACACGCAACTCCAAACATCAAGTATCTTACTTTAATTCTTTTGAAACATGGTGTTGGATTGTTTAAGGGGTGAAGTTTTTAATCATTTTTTGTTTGTCTGCTTGTGCTTTTAGATTGGGTTCTTTTTTTTGGGGGGGAGGGGGAGTGTTGTCAATTGTTCGGGGTTTTTTAAACAGTCAACAAGTTGGTTTAACTCTCCATATGTATCTTGAAAGTTGGAAATGAAAAAATTAAAGATTCTTTCACTTGGAGAAACCAACTGCTTCAAATTGAGCATCGTGCTATGTGTGGAGCAGACTGCAAAACTAGGATAAACAACTCATTACATTTCAAGAAATGCTGGATACATTAGATAAAAGTTACTCCAGTATAAATGATCTGGGCATTGCTGGCCTAGACTAGGTATGGAAACAGCCAGCTAAGACAACTGGTTTGGTTGACAATTTCTATTTATGGATTTTACTTGGAAGCTAAATTTAAAGAATGTAAGGAACCTAAACAAAGTTTTATATGAAATAGCAATATATCTCTGCCAGACACTGGATACAAAAACCTATAAAATACCATGGCATGTAGTCAATATATGTAGGAGAATTAAATGAACATGTAATCCATGGTGAGGGACAAGAAAATTTAACTGGCACAATTGGAATCAACAAATGGCCAAACCATGAAGTGAACTGAAAATGATATTCATTAAGCTGTGCACGCAGCTTTGGAAAGATAAACCAGGAAACAGTTTCAGGAATTTTATTTGTAAGAGGAACAGTAACACAATTCCCGTTTTTCCTTCATTTTGCCAGGTGTTACTGTACGTGATGACTCAAACTGCACAGAGAAAGAGGAGCAAGCAAAAATTCTAAACAAAGTTGGAAGGCAACTGATCTTGCTAAGGTGTAAGTTTCACTTAGAACTATGTGGGATGAAAAAAGTCCAAGTCAGGACATGCAAGAATTCAGGCTACATTTGCCTTGTGCCGGGACACGATTGCTGAACGCTCTGTGAGCAGCAGTTCAGGAAACATAAGCCAGCAATTACAAAAATCACTGCCTGTGGATGTGAGGGCAGCCAGGTGGGACAAAGGAAGATCGGGGTTTAAGAGATTTGACAACACGATATATTTAACAATAAGGCATTCCTGAGTTTTCTTTTTTTGTGGATCGACTTAATATGTTGAAATATAATTTTGCTGAGAGTATTATGGCACTCTTGGAACCAAGGTGAACATTTCTCTAGGTAAAAATCATGATTTAACCTAATATAGGTATATAAGAGTACACACGCATATAACTCCACTGCAGTGCAGTGTGTGCCATTCCCTCATCCTTATGCAATGCTCTCTGAGATGAAAGATGAATTCCCTGTTAGTTCGACAGGTTGCTGTAAATCACTTGCAAGCAGGAGAAAAAAAACTCAGCTGTGGATACATAATGTCTTTTTCATACATACTTTTTGTTGTTCTCTCTCTGCAGCAACGTTACGTTTTTCTAGTCCCCAGGCTCTCATAAAATCTCGCAGGTAGCCAAATATTGTTCCCACTGCAAAACCCACGAAAGTAAAAACTGCGACATACATTGGTGCCTGTTCAAAGTGCTCAATAAATGTCTTTTTGTAGAGAGTTCCATTGGACACGCCATTCTTCTGAAAATACAGAACAGAAACTTGGGATTAATACATTTCATCTCATCAAAGCTCAGACCTTAGACCTGGAGGCGAGTCTTCTTCTCTAATTAGCAGGGACATTTAGACCTCCCACTGAAGAGGAGAACCTTTAATGCTGCAGTTGCTACTGACCACTACAAATATCTTCCATTTTCTCACCTCTCCACCAATGTCCTCAATCGCAGGTGTCTCCAACACCACTCCCTTGTCTATTTTGAAACACGTGAAACTTATGAAGGATTGGCAATATATTATTGTGTAATTGGACAATTATTTCAAAGGTGATTAAATGGAAACCACAATACTCTGTCTTGCAAGGCAGAGCTATAAAAAGGGAAGGGCAGAATTAAAAACTCACCTACACTGTTCCTGAGCGCTTCTGGAAGTCTTGTGCAACCCATTGCAGCAACTAACCTATATACAACAAAATCCTGCCTAAAACAGGGCAGCTTTACCATGATGTTCCTCAGATCTGAGGAAGTATCCAAAACCGTTATGATCCCAGTCTTCATTTCTGTTCTGACTTCACAAATGCTTTTAATCCCATTTCAGTGACCTCTCCTATACTTCTAAAGGTACTTAAAATAAAGAAGAGTAAAAGAAAACAAACAAACAAACAAAGAGACACACAGACATCCTTGATTGTTGGAATTCGTGAGCCCATTGTGAGCAAATTCTAAATATTCACAACAGTGTGTGGACAAAATATTTTGTCATGAAAATATTCTAAAATTTCCATTCTCAAATTAAAGAAGCTAAGTTCTGCAGTTGCAATCTTCTCAAACCAACTCATATTCACTTGGCTCATGAGATTATTCTTTGAAAGAGAGGTAACTCCCTTATTTCTGCAAAATAGGATGGCCGTACAGTTACTGTCTAGTAACATCCAACTTGTCAATTCAAAAATAACAAAACATAATCCAGAAAAAACAGTTCCCTCTGTTTAACAAAAAGAAAAAAAATCCAAGACAAACATTTTGATCATATTATAAAGCAAGACTAACAGCATATGAAGAAATACCATTGCTGCTTGTGGGATTATCTAGGTACATAATGTATCAAGCTGAAATAGAATATTCATATCAAAACCAATTGCCAATTCAGTATAATCGTAGGACAGAGTATTACTGATCTTCATATTGCATTAAAATGTCTTCATCTTCAAAGGATTTTGATTTCAGTTCTATCTTGCTGTCCAGTTCTGGATTCATGAAGTTTTTTGGGGCATGAAAGAAATAAAAAAAAAATTAAAAAAAAAAAAAGAAAAAATGAAAAAGGGGTCTTGGGCACAAGAGAGAATATAAAGGCTTTGGAGGAAACCCAAAAAAGGAAAAAAAGTGCTGGTAGGGCTGAACAAAACCACTTTTAGGCTTTGGAAAGACTTATTGCCATGCAAGGGAGAAGGAATGCAGGGCTGGCTCTCACCATGTGAGGGTAGACCTTTGAAGCAATGCTCCACATGCACTCCTACCTCAAGCTAATTGCTCTTTTAGGGCAACCTATTTACCATGAAAAACATTTTATGAGGACGAGTTAAATACATGGTCAAGTCAAACTTCACATGAGTCACAACAGCTTTGTGCACACAGCCATCAGATAAAGCAAATATTTCAGGAGTAAGGATTAAGCTCGGTCATATTACCTTACATTTGCCACGAGCTAAGAGCATATTTATGTCATCTGTGGAAATTCAACTGGCATTGTAGCTTGATGTGCTCGATTCAATCGGCATCAAGCTGTGATGATTGTGATAACACACCTGAGCCCAGAGGAGAGAACGATGCTGTTCCTGTTTATCGATTTTATTAAGAAACACTTTATTGCTGTCTATCTTATTGGCAAAGGAACAGGGAAGCTCCTATCAGACTTGTGAACCGCAACACACTTCTTCCACAGTAAAACTCTCCTGTTGTGGAATTCTTATTTCAGCTGCTGCCATTTTATGCAGTCAGTATGATGACTGTATTTAAACTTACTATCACCTACTGTCCTCAATAAAAACAATCTAGTAGTAAATGATACCCATGGTAGTAAAGTACTAAGAAGGCACAGTAGGATGTGATCCACGTTCTCCAGTCTATGAATGAGGAAAACCAAGAGTCTTCAAACAGCCCAAAGTTAGGAGAACAAACTCAAAAAATACAGTGACGTCTTGTCTAAAAACTGAAGCGAGGAAACCAGAAAGTACTTCCTCCATCCCTAGAGTTCCACAAAAAACTAGAGAAAGAGTCTCGTATTGGGAATAAACAAAACAAGTGGATTTGTTGCTTCTAGAAAGTGGTAGTGTTTTTGTGCAGCAGTTCAAATCTGAGCATAGGGTAGGGGTGACTGAACATCACGAGGAAGTTCAGCAATTTCAGCCAGCCCAAACAGTCAGAGGATGAATGGCTAATTGTCATTTTGTGTTACATTACTGTTGACTTTTTATACGTTATCAAGAAGTTTCATTTGAGAAGAAAGAGGTGGATTTGGAGACTGCATTTAAAGCATGTGGACAGTGAAGACAGACGTCATTCAGGTGTTGCTGGCACTGAAATAAAATACAGCAGATTTCCTCCAAATGCCTGAAATGATTCAAAGATTATTAGTTACACCATTTGCTCTGCACAGTTCAGCAGGTTCTTTGCTGAATTGTGCACTCCTAGTATATCATTATCTGTAATAACATCTGCAGTAGATAGTATACTTTCTAGCTCCATATCTTCAACTGTAGCAACTGATTAAGCAAGGACTCTAAAAAATATATATATATATTCTCCCAACTTCCAGCAATTGCTGGGTTTGAGATTGTATAGGTTTGAGATTGTGCTATCATGTTTAATAAGTCATCAGGGGATAATTATGAATGTGTTCTTCATTTTTATACCTACAAATGCTGGGAAAATGAATTGCAACTTTTGTTGATTGATTTAATCTGTAAAAAATGTGTTTCCTTTTTTTATAATAATAAAAAAACCTGATAGCCTCATGACAGTTTACTTTGACTGTTGTTGTCCCTTCTGCTTTCCTATTCAGCCAATTACACAACTAATAATTTTCTGTACTTAAATAAATTCTGTCTCTCCATTTGTGTCTCCCCAAACTACAAGAATCTTCATCTGTATAATTCTAGTCTAGTCTCCCTGTCCTAATACGGATTTAAACCCAAAAAGAATAAATAAAAAAAATTGATATTTTAAAAACTTCACTCTGGAAAGTTCAATAAAACCTTTTTGAGATGCAGAGGAAGTGAATTAAAATTGCATACACACTTGAGGGCACAATATGGATTTATACATCTGCAAATAATGCTTTATCTTCTTTTCTGTTGCATTTTAAAGACTGTTAACATTATCTGCCTTCTTGCCACAGCTCACAGTTTCACAAATATCCTTTCTCAGCTGCAAAAATACCTTATTTAGATCACACTGCTATTTCTGCATTCTTAGGACCATTTTCCCCTCCAATGAGAAAGTTCTGTCGTGTTTTTCTTGTTCAGGCCTGATTTTTCACTAACCTGAAGAATTCTGTATTGTCAACATATTTTGTCACCTATTTTTCCAGACCACTGGTGAAAACAGGAGAGAGTACAGGTCCAGTCAGTGATCCCTGGGGGACTCCACTCCCTGCATCTCCCAGGTCACCTTTTCAAAAATCCTTTATTTGTAACCCCCAATTCCTCTGGCAAAAAGGCCAAGTTAAGCAGCAGCCCAGCTACTCAGCAACTTCATTGTTTGGCTGCCTTTAAAAATCTTGAGTAAATACCCTTTGTGTACTCTAATCCACATTTTATTGGCTTGTTTTAAAAATTCTGCTGGCATTCCAGATCAAAACAGTTTCTCAGTAGCCTGTCACAGAGTAAGTAATGTTTTCCAAGTAGGGAATCTCTGGGTGCAGCATAAAGACACCCAAATGCAGGAAGGCTACAGATGAAATGCAATCAGATGGATGTCTTGCCATGGAATTTGACAAAATAGAGGATTTCACTGACTTCTTGGAAACCAAAAGCACAATCAGGGTGTGCAACTTCGGTGTGTTGAGTCCCTGCAACAACAGAATTTCTGGGCAAGATTTTGATGCCAAGGAAGTCAACAGGAGTGATGCCAATGCAGCAAAATCAGCTTGAAGTGCAACACCTCTTAGATTCCCATGTTCTGTAGCTACCCAGAAACTCTCCCATAATAAAGGATCCTTTCCTAAATGCTTTCAGTTTTTTTAAAATGCAGAAAATAACTCTGACAACTAATCTAACAGCGCTATTGGAATGGTCATCAGTATAAAATACTGAATATAATGGACACACAATCTTGATTGAAATAGCTTGCTCTAACAATAATGTAAGATAATCTTGAAGTCTATTAAGAACACTCTTAGCAACACCATTTTAAGGAACAGTTGCAAAATATATTTGCATTGGCAAAGAATAATAGAGGATAGCTATGCAATAGCATGAACAACACTTAAATATTTGTTCACGCTACCCTTACAGTTAGGAGATACTTTTTCATTGCATTTAGGTCCTGCAGCCTCTGCAATTGTGCTATTTGGCATGAGGCAGATTTGCATCCAGGGGAGAGTGAAGAATTGAACAGCACAGACTGTGTGTACAGTACCAAACCTGTCTGCTGGCACCGATGAATTTACCAGCAAAGAGGTAACCACTTATGCTGGAACAAGTTATGAGTAAACCTGTGTGAATGGAGTTGCATCAAGGAAACTGAGACCTAAGAACTCATGTTTTTATGCAAATCTTTCTGTAGAGACAACAAGCTCTAAAGAAGCCCAGAAATCCCAATCTGCTTTCTGAAACCTCTCCTTAATTAAATATTTTTCAGCTATTTTGGCCACTTCCAATATGGCAGCAGTAGGTGCAGACAGGTATATCCTCAAATAAAACTACTGGGAGAACAATAAAGTCTTTGTCTTTGAATATGAGTGCCCTGAGAGGAATAAAATCTGATCCAGAAGCAGATGAAATTTGATTTTATGCATGTTTCTGG